TCTGCGTGGTGACCGTCAGGTCACTGGAGCCTCCGCGGGGACGGATTAAGACCCGTCGGAGAACTTGGAGGCTCCCCTGTGTCTGGGTCAGGAGAGCAGAGGGAGGACTCCAGTCACCCGGGAGGCCCGCTCAGCTCTCCTTGCACCTAGGAGTTCGCCTCCGGGGTCATCAGTGCCCGCCCTAGGTGTCCCACCCTCCTTTCCAAACCAAGTTCACTGTAGTCACAATTTCCTTTTTATGGGCCTGGCCTACAGGGTGGGGGCAAAAGCGGGTTTACAGTGGTGAGTTCATCAAACAGTTTATTCTTGTAAGATTATTTATTAATTATTGTAGTACTTTCCATACAAACACCTGTAAACCTACTTTGCCCCACCCTGGATAATGAACACTACATACATACTTATTGAACGGGTGAAGCATCTTATTAGAATTGAAGTTCCATGTGGCTGGAGGCTGTTTTGTTCCCTTGCTGAATCCCCAGAACCAACAATAAAACGGGCACAGAGCAGGTGCTCAAAATTACTTATTTAATACAATGAATGATGGAATGGTAAGAAACTATAGTTATTATGGCTCAAAGAAGACAGATCTTTCTCCCAAGGTCGCACCACTGTAGAAGACAGGGGAGGTGAGCTAACCCTTCCCAGCTCCAAGCTGGTGGCTTTCCTGGGCTGTGGTGCCCCTGCTGGAGAAGAGCTGAACTGCCCTGCGCCCCAGGAGATCCCTGCCCAGTTCTGGTGATGAGAAGACCAAGGGCTTGGGATGGGGGCGCTGAGGACGGGAGGTGGGATGGAGGTCCAAGGCAAGAACCCAGGGAGCACTCTGCCTTCATGGACACTCAAAATGCTAGTGGCTGAAGGGGCACGAGTGGGAGGTTGGAGTAGAAGCTGGGGGAGGAATCATAGCCTTAGGAAGAATCGCCTGGAAGACAGAGCAGAGAAGAAAGCAGACTGAGCCATGGGAACTCAGAGAGAAAGTGTTCCATGCAGGAGGTCTTTGGGGGAGAGGCTGAGGACTGGCAACAGCATCCGCTCAACTTGGCTGAAAGGAGGAGGCACAGTGTTTAACAACGAGAGCCTCAAAGACATGGCTCAAGTCTCTACCCAGACATTTGAGTGACTTAGGCTGAGCAAGAGACTTGCCTCTTAGGGCTTCAGTTTCCTTGTTTACATATAATTGGATGCTACCTACTCATACAGCCCGTACTATGCTTGCCCAGAACCCAAAACAAGAAATAAATGCTGTGATTATTATGTTGGTGGTGGTGTTGTTATTGCAACTGGCGACCTTTAAGAAGAAACTATCAGTTCAGTGGGGAAGGGAAGGGGAGGAGAAGAAGATGGGAATCAGATGGCAGGAAGTTAAGGGGAGCTAAAGAATCGGTGGGTGTAGATTGCTTTGCTGAGGAGCTCGGCAAGGCAAGAAGTAGACAAATCCAGAGGCTGGGCAGCAGCAGGAGGGCTAGCATTTTCATTCAGAGAGAAAAGGCCTGTGAATGAGCACAGGCACAAGGGAGGAACCTGCAGAGATGAGCAACTGAAGCTCTCAGAGAGAGGTGAGAGCCAGGGGCTGGCCTGAGTAGGCAGAGATGGCCCCCCAGAGGAGCAGGGTGGCCCCAGGGTTCTCTGCACCCAGGCCTGTCCTTGCTCCTTTATCAGCGCCCCTGCTCCCGCCCCCACAGGCCAGGGCTGGAAGGTCTTTCCCTCAGCCTCTTTCAGAGACTGTGGTAGAAATTGGACTTGCCTAGAAGTCAAGAGGCCCAGGTTCTGGTCTGACCCTGGCCATTCGGACTTGGCTGAACCCCAGTCCTTCCTGAGGCTTTGTGTCTTCCTCTTTGTCCCCACAGCAATCATCTTGGTGATTCTGTAGCCATGCCGTCGCACTGAGCATTATAAAATATTTCCTCTTCTGAAGTTTTTCTCTACTCTAACTAGAAGGAAGGAAAAAATAAATCTTTGAGAGGAAGCTATCACTTCTCCCAGCAATTGGGACAATGTGTCTGCTTCAGACGTATTGCCAGCAGACCCGCCAACACCGTCCATACTGGCAGATCAAGGCTGAGCCTCCTGGTGTTTTAAATAGCTCGTGCACTCTGTCTTGGCCTTCTGGAACCAAGCAGGAGCTTTGTGCGAGGCTGAGTGCTGCTGTTGACAAGGCACTCGTGGCTGCAGGCTTCTGAATCCTCGGAAATAACAACAATTACTGTGCGCACCGCACTTCGTCCTCCAAGGCGGCGAATGCATCAGCTGCTGGTTATTTTGATACCCTGGATAAAAAGCTCTTTCAAGACAGTCTAGTGCAGAAAAACATTCTTATCCTCTGCTCGTCTGCACCATTCCTTCTGCCCGCTGCCCTCTCTGCTGTATCTCATTCCTACAAATGCAGCTGGCCCAAGCCTTCAGGTCCTTGTCTCCATGACCCAGGAAAAGGACATTCTGCTTGCACCCTTCATGCAAGTGGAAGAGACCAGGGAAGAGACACCTGGGCATGGTCTCTCTGCCAGGGTCGGCCTGATCCGGAACCAGCTGGAACCATGGGATGCACTGTCTGACAGCCACAAATGGCTCTGACTGTTCTGGCTGGATTCAATACGCATTTACTGAGCACCTACTATGTGCTAGGTCCTGGGTGAGGACCTCAGGGGTCTCAAACAAACATGGCCAGGGCCTAATAATCAGCCTCCACTAGAACATGAGCTCTCTGAGAACAGGTGTCTCAGCCATCTCACAGTGCCTGGCACATAGTAGGCTCTCATAGTTCATCTTTGGAGGACTTCCTTGTTGCCTACATAGTGTTATTTACATATTCTTTTCCAAGATCCTTAAAGTTCAGGGACAGCAACAGAGCCAGTCACAGATGGAAAGGAACTCTTATTAAATCAACACGTGCCATAAGAACATGATCAAGAGTGTGGCGGAGGGCGCACCTAGGCTTCTATTCTGTTCTCACCATTTTTTGCATTTCTGTCTTACACGCTACATGAAAAAAAGCCCACAAGTGCCCCAGATCCTTTTGTCCTTCCGGGTGATGCTACAAGGACATACACCAAAGCTCTGCATTCAACAACTAAATTCTTTGTTATTCTAAAATTTGCAGCTTCGTCCCTTAATTCTTGTGCAGCTATTATGTAAGGCTTAGGGCTGGTGCTTTTAAACAAGTTTATACGTGGCATGATTGATGAATGAATTTGTCCTATTGTCTGGAAATTTCTTTGTTTAATTGACAATGACAAATTTCCCAATGGATCACCCTGACTCTGACGCTGCTCCTGCAGAAAGGGCCATTTATGGCGGCCCCGGTGGCCAGCCCTCACCTCCAAGTGTGTTCATCCGCTGGTCTGCACTGAACAGCTCAGAAGGAAACAAGCCTTTACTGGGAAATACCGAGGCCACACTAAAGCTACAGCTGACTTCCATTCTGGGGCTTTCTTCCCGCCTCATCCTTCTTGGAACAGGCACAAATGGGGTGAACTTAGGTATGGGGCAAAGCTGAAACTAGAAAGAACTGGAGATCTTAGGCCAATCTGTGTCAGGGAAGGTCCAAGTGCCTAAGAGCCTCACCTCGCTCAGGTGCCCTCCACTGGGGGTAAAGAGCCGCCCTTTAACTGACAACAGGAGCCCCTATACCTCAGTAGATCCAGGCGCCCAGGCGCCCTTCGCCTGAGTTGTGCTGGCAGGGTTTCACAAACCAAGGGACTCAGCACCTCTCCCTCCTTCTAGCTGTCTCTTCTTCCCATACGCCTTCTTCCTTTGTGCATCAGGCACAAGGTAGGGGTTCAGCATACAGGGAAGGACAGAAGAACTGAAGACATCTGACTGCGTTCACCACTGGAGACAGTAGGGAGTGAATTCGAAGACCTAGGAATTCCCCAGAACACGATTGCAATTAAGAACGCACATTTGGTGAAAAATCTGGCATAAGGGGTATTTCTGACTTGCTCGTTGGGGCTGGCAGGTGGTTGGTCAGGCAGCTCTCCCCGCCCCCTTCCCGACCTGTCCCCCTCAAACTCTGAATGGCGGAAACCAAGGAACTTGGACATTTCTTGGATGGCCAGTCAGGAGATCCCGCCGCAGGGGAAGTCCGCTCGCGAGGATGAGGAGGAATTTGGGTTGGGCCCGGGGTAGCACAGAAGGCTGGCTGGCTGGGTCAGTTTAGAGTCAGAGACCCCTCGCCAAGCTGATAAAAGCTGTAGACCCTCTACCCAAAGAAAACGCCCGCACTGCACACAAATGTACAAATTTGCCTACAGTTTCAGAGGGGTCAGTGACCTTAGGAACTTCCAAAACTTAAGGCCCTGAGCCTAGACTCTAACGCTGAAATCCTCTGTGTCCCGTCTGCACGGGGGACTCACCCCTGCGCAGGGGTCTTCCCCCTGGTCCGGTTCTCTGGAGCCCGGCCCTCGCTCCTGTGAGAGGAGCGCCGGCGCCGGTGCCTGCAGTGCTCCTGTGGGTGCTCCTGTCGGGGTCACGGTGACGAGGCCTCCCAGGCGAAAGGCTCCCTGGGCGTTTCTCCCTAGATTAGGAAGAGCAGCCGAGCCTGAGGCGTGGAGGGTAAACAGCGTAAACGGCATCCCCCCAGGCGCTGGCGGTGTGCAAAGCTCTGTGAGTGCGTTGGGGAGGCGGGGGGAGGACGGGCCACCGGCAGCCCCCGGCAACTCCGCCCACCCACAGCCCGTATGCCCATTGGCCACCAGAAGCCAACACCCCTGCCTGGGGCCCCAGAAAATCCCCACGGGTGCTCGGCTCGCATGGCCCCTTCGACCCAGGAGCGCTTCCATTTGACCTCTGGGATTTGAACCCTTCCCTGGCTGAGATGAGCCAGACTTACAGGGAGCGATTGATCGCTAGTCTCCAAGACCCCTTCCTCCGGGGACATCGGCGCAGCCCAAACAGGTGCGGAGCTCGGGCTGGAGCGGGGGGGGCCTGCAGTGCCGGATTCGGATTTGGAGTGAGGAGGAGTCTGGGAGGAGGGGCTAAGAAATTGCAGAAGCAGTGTAAAAGCCGCTCGGAGCTCCTGCACGGCAGAGAGCGCCGGGAACCCGAGGGGAGCGCGGCGTAGGGTGAGTCCGGCGGCCCGGAGCCGAACCCCGGGAGGGGCGCAGCACCCGTGGGAGTGAGGGCCGGCGGCGCGGGGCTCCCTTGGAGACAGTGCACGGGTCCCCGCTTAACACCTCCGGGAACCCCCGAGGGGCTGAAGTGCAGCGATGAGAGGAATGTTCCAAGTGGGTGCGAGAGCCTCGGCGGGCGGGCCGGCAAGTCGTGGGGAGCAGCGGTCTTTCTGGTCTCCCAATGGCCCGAAGTTCAGGAGGCCACCCTGGCGCCTACAGTAGCTGCACGGCCGGGGACTATTAGCTCGAGGGCTGAAGGGGACAGTGCGCAAGTGAGGGAGTGCGAAGGAGAGCGGAGAGAGAGGGATGCGCGGGCGGGAGCGCGCCTGGAGCGGAGGAGTGGTGGTCTGCACCGCGGGGGCTGGGTTGTGCGCGGAGTCTGGAAAGTGCTGCGCTGCCCCCCGCGTAAGGGGACCAGCAGGGCAGGGCGCACTGGATCTGGTGCCAGAAGTGTAGCAAGAGTCTTCGGGCTCTTCTGCGCGTAGCTGGAGGCCTGGGAGCCCTAAGGGAGGGAGGGCCCTCGGAGCTTGATGGCAGAAGCCTGCGCACCAAGAAACCTCCATGGAGCCGCTGAATCGAGGGCTCCGAGGCTCGGAAGGGCTCCTTGGGCCACATGCCTCACCTCCAGCTGTCTGCTGCCAGATGTGGAAGAAGCTGGCATGGAGGGGTGGGGCGGGCAGCGCCCTGGGTCCAGGCAGCACAGGCTGAGGGGAAAGAGGACTCAGGGATCAGAGAGCGGCATCTTTGAGCCAACACAAACAAGATGCTTAGCTCCGTTTGATTACAACTTTCCTTATCCTTTCAACAACAACAACAATCTCTGAAATTCTCATGGAAGGTGTTTTCTGCTTGAACTTTGAGAGATTAAAAAAGAGCCTGCTTGCTAGGCTGGTTTTTCCAAGCTGCTCCAGGTTAGAAGTTGTAACTGTATGAAGGATAATTTATGGGTGTTTCGTGCATTAAAGTGTATTATTGCAAAGCCTTTTGGGTGCTGTGGGTATTAAGGAAAACTTAGTGCACGTTCCCAGCTGGAAACCAAAATAGTGCTCTCCTGGGTGTCTCTGCCCTGTCTGTCATCCTGGAGAAAAGGCACTTGATTAATTGCCCTGGCTCCATCCTCTGGGTGCACCCGGCCAGTGCCAGCCCCTCCTCCCCACGCGCGCGCAGCCAGCTGCATTCTGCAAGTTCAGAGACGTGCTGGAGGGCCCACCCGTAACTTATCTCCAGGGTCTTCAAACTCTTGAAGCTGTCATTTAAGTCTGCTGGAGGGGAATATTTCTTGCGCAGTGTTTACAGTTTCCTACTGAATGTCTGAAACTTTCTCCTTCTGCAGAGCCACAGAGTAAAGTCTAGAGTCTCCTTTAGATGTCAGCCTGAGCAACCCCACTGTCAGTCCATGACAGGCAGTGTTCCTAGAGGCTCAGAGGGTTTGGGGGGCCGGCGGCGTGGGATGGCGCGCTGACACTGGCTCCGCCGGCTCGGGCTCAGGCGCACAGAAGAAAGAAACGTTCCTCATACTTGGTCCTTGGAGGGGGTGTGGCTAATATCACATGCTACCAAACCCCTCCCCCATGCTTTTCCCAACATTATTTTGCAGGTGAAAAAAAAGGGCAGCCTGGAAGGGGAAAGTGTTAGGAGGCACCCCCAAAGTCTGTGGGGCGTGGGGCCGCTGTTTGAGAGAACTGGGGCAGCACCTTGAGAGGATTAGAGCTGCTGCTGGTGCCACGCCTTCCCTGGGCAGCTGTCTTCCCCCTAGAGCAGCCCAGCCCCACTAGAGAATTGGAAAGCTGGGTCCGCTCAGGGCAGTCCTCCTCATATTGGTGACTGTCTGTGCCCTTAGGCTTTCTCAAGGAGTGAGGTTCTCACCTTCTCCCATTGCCCACGCACCAAGAGAACCAGAGGGAGGAGGGAATGAAGCTTCATGCTCCTGCTCCGAGCTCGCGTTCTCTCTCGCTCTTTCTCTCTCTGTCTCTCTGAGAAACCCGTGCCTTGACCAGGAAGGGGGCCCCAGCTGCTGACAGCAGCGGGGAAGGCAGGGGAGGGCAGGGCAGGGCAGGGCAGGGCTGCAGCCCCAGGGAAGTTTCTCATCATTACTGAGATTAAACCGATGAGCAAATCGCACAACTTCACTTTTAAATGCGAGCTGCCCTACTGCCGCACACTGGTGCGGCGCCCCATTGCCACGCAGCTGCATTGGCGGCGCAGAGAAACTGCAAAGGAAGCACGGCTACTGCTCTTCCCAACTGGGCATGGAGCAGCTGCCAAGCAGACGTCCGTGCCACAGCAGGGAGCAGAGGCCCCGCCATGCATCTTCTCCCAGGGAGACCTCATGCCCTGGGACTCCAGGGCCCAGAGTAGGTAGGTCTTGGAGACCGTTGCTGGCAGCAAACACTGCTCTCAGGAGGCAGTGGAAGGCTTGTTGAGGATTCACTTAAAACCTCTGGACATCACTGAGCAAACCACACATTCCCAGAGGGTTTCTCTTTCTTTGGCTGGCACCTCTGATCTTGTAAACCATCAGCTAAACCGTCAGCTTACAGGCTTAGCTGGTCTGAGAAATCAACTCAGTGATGGACCACTTTTACAGACCAGCACAGGGTGGCGGCATCAGGCAAATAAATGGAGGTGGGAGACCCTTTCCCAATCCATTCCCAGGGACCTTGCCTCCTGACGGAGGAGAAACAGTTAGCACCCAAATTCTAAATGGCAGTAAACCTGAGGTGGCCCTGAGGCAGAAATGCAGCTGGAGAAACTGAGGCTTTGGGGTCAACAGTCTTTTGGTTGGATGTGCTCAAGGATTGTCACTGTCGGCGAAGGAGGATAGCCCTTCAGCCACAAAGCTTGGCCAAGACCAGAATAATGAAAGCATGCAATAAAGAAGAGTTTCTCATGCTACATGATGTTTTTATTATTCTCCTATGGGCTACTTTAGATGTTTTTGAGGAGTTTCCAGAGGCTCTTGACCCTAGACGATGACACAGTAAGAATCAGATTGAAACACTGAGATATTTTTCTCCTGTGTTTGGGTAGACTTTCTGAGTTCTGAGACAGGAGGGAAAGTAGCTCTGTGACCTTGAGCAAGTCACTGAACTTCTCAGGCTCCAATTTCCCAATCTGCAGGACAAGTGCATTGAATGATTAGTGTTTCTCAATGGGGCTATTGGCAGTTGGACACAATCTTGGGTAAGTATGACCTATTTACATAATGCAGGAGGTTTACGTCCCTATCTTATCTACTAAATGCCAGGAGTCAGGGTGATGACCGAAGGTGACCACCCCCAACCCTCCATGCCGTGTATGGCTAACTGCTTAGGAAAAGAATGACTGCTCCCAGGTGAGAGCTCTGTTGGAAATTACCCACAGGGTCCTTTCTTCCGGGCCCTCGCGTTGAGCATCTATTTCATCATGGAGGTGGGGCTCCAGAAGTCCAGCCCTGGGCCTGACCCTGCAAGAACCAGCATTTCAGGCTCCAGGAAGCCACTGACAGGAACGTCAGTGCTGTCGTCCCACTGGGCGTCATCCTTTGCCTTTTGTCAATGGAGCGTGACTACAAATGACCCACATAAAAACAAATGCAGTAAGAGTGGGGGGAGGCACCCGTGGTATCAGAGCGTGGCGGCCTCCCTCTGTGCCATATGGTATGAAAAACCCAGGCAGACTCCTCGTCCCGGTGTCCGCGGGGCGTGGGGGAGACCCTCCCCGCTTCACTAAATGGCTCGCACCGTGGTACCGGGAGCTCCCCTCCCTGAAGGAGAGAATGGGGATGCAGAGCCCTCTGCAGCAGTGACAGCACTTCATACCCCGTGGGTGCATGTTGGTATCAAATTAATACGTGGTGTCCAAGCTGTGAGAATAAATGGGCATCAATAATGTGACATTTGATTTTAAAAAGTAGGCTAGCAAGACTGCCCCGGTGGGGAGGGGTGCTGTGCATGCAGCACGAGGTTGATTCTCCAGGGAAACAGCTCACATTATTCTTACCTTTGGTCCAAGCTCTCACAGGAGGACAAAATGTTAGAATCATTGGTTATTCATAGGCAACGGGCTAGAATAAGTATCTTTGGAGGATATTATAGGAACTCCTATTCACCCCCGAGCAGTAGGAGGGAGAGAACGACTCAAGTGGTAGGGCTGGTAGAGTTGGGAGCTGATTTCTAATGAGGCGAAAATAAATGAAGGACTGGGAGACCAAAGGAGATACTCGGTGAGGCCGAGATGGGTCTGATACCACAGTCTGTCAGGGAGGACTAGCCAATGCTTTTTGAATTGCCCAAGAGTTTAGCCAATCCCTTTCACTTGTGGAAAATCTTTTTATTAGCAGTAGTGTTAGTCAGAGTCAGACAGTCAGGGTTTCCCTGAAAATTTGCCACAGGGCTAAGCAGATGGAGAGGTTTTGGCACCGCCTTTGGTGACTTCTGCAGGTGGAGAGGATCTGGCTCTGAGGTCAGTGGGAATGAACAGCCCAAGCTTCACACAGAAGCCACGTCATGCAGAGGGCAGTTACAACCCACTGTGGCTGGAACCGCTTTCCCAGGAACCACAGAGTACTTGCTGTTTGGTACAGACGGGCTGATTTTCCATTTTCCTTTGGGTCTTCAGTCAGTAACCAGGGTCTGCTTGCTGCTTGCTGTTCCAGAATGAGCCCAGAGAGGACTACCTGCTGGAAGCCAGGAGTGCTCAGCCCAGGTTGGGGGTGCAGGAAGGTCCTGTCTCGGCCCCTCATGGCTGTGGATGCGAGGTGCGGTCACAGTGACTCACACATCTCGCTTGCCCAGTATGGTGAAATGCCATCCCATGTTAGGCCCTGAGCAGACCTGTCTCCGGGGTTAACACCCTGGGGTACCACAACCTTGTGTTGAATCCCCACGGGTGTGGGAGATGCCAAGAGAGCCAAGCCCCATTTGGAGTGGGATTTTGAAGGGAGGAGCGGTCGTGCTGGGCTCTCGCTGCAC